GGCAGTCTAAGGCATCAGGTGGGATAGGGAGGGGGTTGGTGCAGCCAGCACAGAGCAGCAAGGTTGGAAGTGGAAGAAGCGGTAGGTGCATGGTCCATGCCTGCATGGAGGGTTTGTTTATAGGCCTGGGCTTTGCTGTTTTGTGGGCACTTTTGGCTGATGTAAGTGCTAGAAGCCTCAGATGGCAACCCTGAGGACAGGGGTGGGGCTCCTCCTACTGCCTGTCAGACAAGGAGGTGATTTATGGCTGTGCTGTTCCTAAAACCTCTTTCTTTTCTTCCTGATCAACACAATCATAGAGCAGTTCTGTGTGCCCTTTGCTCTTTGTCCTGTAGCTCAGACAGCCTAGTGGTTAGGACACTTGTCAAGGCATTACACTCAATTTTAACTCTGGTTAAGTGACACCAATTCCACTCATAACTTGAAAGCTTTATTAGGATACACAATAGTAGGCCTGTGCAAGTAGGCAGCTTTTCGATCCGACTTCAGATCCAGCCGCTTCGGATGTCAGCCATCCAATCTGGAGCTCCACGTTGGTTTGCTGCTTCAATCTGGCCGAAGCAGCTCCAAAGCTTTGGAGCTGCCTTGGAGATCCAGCCATAGGGTATAATGGGGGATCAATTAAATATCTATAACTTTGTTGTTTTATCTCCAATTTGGATGAAACTTGCAGGGGTGGTAGCCTCTGCTACGAGAATGAAGCCTGCCAAGTTTCAAGAAGATAGGTGCAGGAGCTTGGGGGGAACTGCACCCCAAATTCTTGAAAGCAAAACTCCTGTCATGTCTATGTGTTACACCATAGGGGGGTGAAAACTGCAGGGGTGGTGGCCTCTGCTCACAAATCATTCCAAGTTTCAAGAAGATGGGTGCAGGGGTTTGGGGGGAACTGCCCCTCAAGCTGCTGACAGGCAAAACTCGTGATGTGGGTGGGTGCTTGTGGGACTGTGTCTGTTATGGGGCACAGGAGGGTGAAATCTAGTGCAGACCTGGGTGCTGGGCTCTGCCAGGCCACGAAGCCTGCCAGCTGTGTGTGTCATGCTGGGGAAGTCTGTCGTCTGGAGCCCTGCACCCCAAGCTGCTGACAGGCAAAACTCGTGATGTGGATGGGTAACATTGTGTGCGTGTTAAGATGTGCCTTTCCTGGTGCTGGGGCCTCTGCACAACACAGCAGTGTGCCCCACTGAGGTCTTCTCCTTCCCTACAGCCTCATGCCTAGTCCTCCACTTCACGTGACAACAGGTAAAATAACTTAGCTGGCTTAACACCAGTAGCATCGGCAGCAGCATCAAAGGTACCCAAGCAGAACTGTCACAGAGCCTTTCTTTTTATAAAGGAATTGACAGCAACAAATAAAGATGTTGTGTTGTGTTGGACATATGATGTTACTCGTGGTGTGTGATGGCTTATCTTGTGTTTTTATGTCTATATGTTTATTATGAAAAAAAAGAAGTACTTAAAAAAATATATCTTAGGAAGCTTTAGGGTTGAAAACCCCTTTGTCAGGCTGAGGAAGTACCTGCAGTTGGTCCTGGATGGAAGGAATAGTAAGGCAGAGGCTGCCCTGCCCCGTAATGCAGGCAAGAAAGCCAGCCAGTGAAAATGGAAATGGAGGCATCAGGGGTGAGGGACAGGCTGGGGTGGGGGTAGAGGGGAAAGGGGGATGTAGCAGTGCAGGTAAAAGTGCAGAGGTGCCTGGGGTGTCTGCCTGTTTCTCCCGCAGCATCTTGCCCCCCTTGCTGCTGCAGTGGAAGTAGCCCTCCACCTTCCTGCATTTTGAAATCAGCTGGCTTGTAGCAGTAGTGGTGGCGGTGCCGTCACTGGCAGCCCTGTCCTCCTCCAAGGCATCCCTCTCTATTAGGTGCAGCCTGCGTGCCACACAGCAGATGCCAACAAAGTTGGCATCACAGACAGCCTTCACCATATTGGCCCCGTTGTTGGTGACCATGAACCCGCGGGTGAG